TGGGGAAGGAGGTGCGTCCAGGTCCCAGCTCTGCCTAACAGCTCCCTCCCTCATGCTCCAAAATGACTTTCAGCCTGCATTTTGCCTTTCTGTGATTGTACTCCACTCAGCAAATGACCTCATGCCTACTTCAGGGGAAAAAATAGCAGCCATCAGGTAGGGACTCCCCGGAGCCTTTAATCTGCAAGCCTCACCTCGTCCTGTTTTCCCTCCTGTCCAATACCAGTGTCTTCCTCTGTGCTTTGAGTGTCTTCTCCCTGACCTTCTCCAGACCTTTACACTGGCAAGGATCCTGTCTTGTATTTGTAGTCCTCCTTTTAGGTGGATCCCCCCACTGATATTCAGATGTACTTGTCTCCTTCCCCTTCATAAACTTCCCTTTTTTTGAGACAGAGTCTCACTGTATTGCCCAGGCCAGAGTGTAGTGGCACAGTCTTGGCTCACTGCAACCTCCACCTACTGGGTTCAAGCAATTCTCCTGTCTCAGTGTTCCGGGTAGCTGGGATTCAGGTGTCCGCTAACATGCCTGGCTGATTTTTCTATTTTTAGTAGAGACAGGAGTTTCACCATGTTGTCCAGGCTGGTCTGTAACTCCTGACCTCAGATTTGGGAGGCCAAGGAGGGTGGATTGCCTGAGCTCAGGAGTTCGAGACCACCGTGGGCAACATGGTGAAACCGGGTCTTTAATAAAATAAAATAAAATAAAGTTAGCCAGATGTGATGGCGGTCGCCTGTGGTCTGAGCTACTCAGGAGGCTGAGACTTGAGAATTGCTTGATCCCGGCAGTTGTAGGTTGCAGTGAGCCAAGATCACACCACTGCACTCTAGCCTGGGCGACAGAGCGAGAATCTGTCTCAAAAACTAACAAAAAATGCGACTCTGTTCATGTGTCCTTTTGCTTAGTAGCCTTTAACAGCTTCTCATTGCTCTTAGGATGAAAACCCAGTCCCTAGTATGACCTTCAAGGCTCCATGTGGTCTGGCCCCTCTTGACCTCTGTGCCACACTGGCCTTTTAAGGTGAATGTGCCATGCTCCCTGTCACCACAGGGCCTCTGCATATACTGTCCCCTCTGCCTGGAATGGGCCTTCCCATCCTTCAGCTCATTAATTCCTACTGTAATTTCAGATCTCAGCCAATCTTCACTTTTTTGGCTAAGCCTTTTTATTTGTGTGAGTCTTTCAAGTCTGTCCCATCAGACCTAAAGCACTGTAAAAGGGCAGAGACAGTTATGATTACCTTTTTATTCTCCAGCACCTAGCACAGCGCTTGACATGTAGTAGATGCTTTGACAGTTACCCGGTGGGAATTGCGTGCAGGGTAGAGGAAATAGCGTCTGCGGGGCATGAGAAACAGCAGCATTTTGGAGAAAACTAACATGTTGATGGCTAAAGTGTGGGTTTTGCAGAAGACAAGTGGTAAGAGATGAGGCTGGAAGGGCAGGCAGGGCCCAGGCTGTGAAGGGCCCTATTTGGCCAGTATTGGTACTTGGACCCATAGGATGTGGGCAGCCAGTAGTCTCCACCCACTTGGTGAAGGAGGAATAAGCATAGGATGAGGTGTGACCCTTGAGAGATGGGTGGGGCTTGGCCCACTTCTGATTCCCCTGTGTAGAAGATGTAATGAGTTTTAACCCTTCTTTGTATTTTTTTCATCAGCTACATCTGGTACCTTGGCTGGCATTATGGGAATGAGATTCTACAACTCTGGAAAATTCATGCCTGCAGGTTTAATTGCAGGTGCCAGGTACTTTCATTTGTTACTCTTCTTTACCATGTAGAGTTCAGTTTATTCCCCAGGATACTTTATGCATTCAAAACCTAACTTGTTTCAGGATATCTGATGCTATGCATCAACTGACATTTGATTTATACACTAATAGGAAATGTTTCAAAAACAATAGCTGGTTTAATGTCACAATGGCATGAGTATATCCATTCACTGTGGAAATGGGTTTGTTCTCATGTTTGCTTTCCGGTCCATCCTAGCTCCTCCCTATATGGTGGCAGAAGTTTTCCTGCAAAGCCATGACTGCAGCCTTTTGTGTGACTTGCATGGAAGATGCCGGGGTCCCATATTTCTTAGATGTGTAGATGTCTTTTACAGAAAATTTTGCTAAAGGGGAATTTTGATTGAATCCTCTTTTCTAATTTTTTTTTTGAGACAGAGTATCGCTCTGTCACCCAGGATGGAGTGCAATGGTGTGATCTCTGCTCACTGCAATCACCGTCCACCTCCCGGGTTCAGGTGATTCTCATGCCTCAGCCTCTGGAGTAGCTGGGATTACAGGTGTGCACCACCACACCTGGCTCATTTCGTTGTTTGGTAGAGACGGTGTTTCACCAGGCTGGTCTCGAACTCCTGATCTCATGATCCGCCCACCTCGGCCTCCCAAAATGCTGAGATTACAGGCATGACCCACTGCTCCTGGCTCTGTTTTCTAATTTTGATTATAAAACCTAAACCAAATTGTGGCTTTTAAAAAATTTAGTTGTGGCCAGGCATAGTGGCTCACACCTGTAATCCCAGCACTTTGGGAGGCCGAGGCTGGCGGATCACGTGAGGTCAGGGGTTCAAGACCATCCTGGCCAACATGGTGAAACCCCGTCTCTACGAAAACTACAAAAATTAGCCGGGTGTGGTAGTGGGCACTTGTAATCCCAGCTACTCGGGAGGCTGAAGCAGGGAGAATTGCTTGAACCTGGGAGGTGGAGATTACAGTGAGCTGAGATCATGCCACTGCACTCCAGCCTGGGGGACAGAGCAAGAGTCCATCTCAAAAAAAAAAAAAAATTTAGTTGTAGGCCAGGTTTGGTGGCTCACGCCTATAATCCCAGCACTTTGGGAGGCCAGAGCGGCCAGATCACTTGAGGTCAGGAGTTGAAGACCAGTCTGCCCACATGGTGAAACCCCATCTCTATGAAAAAATACAAAAACGAGCCGGGCATGATGGTGCACGCCTGTAATCCCAGCTACTTGGGACACTGAGTCAGGAAAATTGCCTGAACCTGGGAGGCACAGGTTGCAGTGAGCCAAAATTGTGCCGCTGAACTCCAGCCTGGGCAACAGAGGTGAGTGAGACTCCGTATCAAAAGAAAAAAAAAAATTTAACCTTCTTTAAAACAAAAAATTTAGTTGTTAAGTATTATAAAGACATCCTGAAGGCAGGGGAATTTTTAAAAATCTGATTTGGAGAAAGATTGCATACTCCGCTCTGATCATAGTTGTGACGCTACCAGTATAATGTTATACCTGAAGCAAAAGAGTCAGTGTGGAGCAAGGTCTAGAGCAGTAAACTGAGAGGCTGGAGATTCTACCATTATCAGATCCCTGAGGGTGGGGCGGCCTTGCTCTCTCTTGCCTCCATTTCTTCATCTCTTCAAATTATTGGCAGTTGGATTAGGATCCAGCTCATGTGTGCTATTTTAAGACCTCAGTGTGAGACTGTCCCTTGGCTTGCTTTTTCTCTGGTTCCTCCAGGGATGGAAATTTTACCTCTGACCACTCTTGCCTTAGTACCTCCTCCCCCACACAGTTGTGAGGAACCTGCAGAGTTTAGTTCCTTAAAAACATAGTTGCCTGTTCTGTCCTTTACCTGACATTTTCTATCTTGTTTCTTTTAAACAGTTTGCTGATGGCCGCCAAAGTTGGAGTTAGTATGTTCAACAGACCCCATTAGCAGAAGTCCTGTTCCAGCTTGCACTGATGAAGAATTAAATATCTGCATCTTCCACTATTTTCAATGTATTAACAGAAATAAGTGCAGCATTTTTGCATCTGACATTTTACCTTAAAAAAAAAAGACATCAAACTTGGCGGAGGGGTGGAAAATCAGTTGTTACCATTATAACCCTACAGAGGTTATAATGAGGATGTAACATGAGCTTATTGAGACCCTCAGAGAGATCGATTCTTGTACATTGATGTTATCTCTTCTTTCTGTATCTATAGGTATATCTCAAGGGTAAAATGTTAGGTGTCAACTTTGAGGGCCCTGAAACCCCATTCCGTGCTCTGAGGAACAGTGTGAAAAAATCTCTTATGAGATTTAGAATATCTGTTCTTTTGCTCATCTTAGATTACAGACTGACTTTGAAATTATGTTAAGTGAAATATCAATGAAAATAAAGTTTACTATAAATAATATTTCCTATGGTGTCTTCATTGCCAGAGCTGTCTAGTTCATAGAATGAGATGTTGCTAGCAGCAAGATATAGAAACTTGAAAGTATTTTGTTAATATTTAGAAATTACCTATTTCGAATAACTTAAGGACCAAGGAAAGTTATTTGATTGTACATTGCATTGAAGTTTGTTTCAAAAATGACCTCTGAGGATTTTTTGTTTGTTTTTTAAGAGACAAGGTCTTTCTCTGTCACCTAGGTTGGAGAGCAGTGGTGCAATCATATGTCACTGTAGCCTCAAACTTGAGTTCAATCATCCCACCTCAGCCTCCTGAATAGCTGGTACTACTGGTGCATACCACCACACCCGGCTAATGTATTTTATTTTTTTTGTAGAGATGGGGTCTTGCTCTGTTGCCCATGCTGGTCTCAAACTCCTGGTCTCAAGTGATCCTCTTGCCTTGCCTTCCCAAAATGTACTGAGTAATAAGCATGACCTACTATACCTGGCCACTGAGGTTTTCTTCTTTCTTTTTTGTTTTTTTGAGACGGAGTTTTGCTCTTGGTGCCTAGGCTGGAGTGCAATGCCACAATCTTGGCTCACCGCAGCCTCTGCTTCCCAGGTTCAAGCAATTCTCCTGCCTCAGATTCCTGAGTACCTGGAATCACAGGCATGCGCCACCATGCCTGGCTGATTGTATTTTTAATAGAGATGGGGCTTCTCCATGTTGGTCGACCTGGTCTCAAACTCTTGACCTCAAGTGATCCGCCTGACTCGGCCTCCCATAGTGCTGGGATTACAGGTGTGAGCCACCATGCCTGGCGGCCACTGAGGATTTCTAAGGTTAGGACTGTGGGCCGGGCACTGTGGCTAACGCCTGTAATCCCAACACTTTGGGAAGCCGAGGTCACAAGGTCAGGAGTTCGAGGGAAAAAAAAAAAAAAGGACTGTGTAGCAAAATTAAAAGGTGATTTTGTTGTTGTCATTAATTAGTTCATACATAAATGTGAAGCTAGAATACCCATCTAGAGCTTGAATCATCTAGTTTGGTGTCTACATTGGACACATTCACTGGATACTGGTACTGTTTCAACATGAAGAATTAACTCAATCTGGTACCCCTTGCTTTAGTTTTCATTCCCTCTTTAAAAAGGAAAACATACTTAACTACTGTTCTCTACCCTGTTACTGCTTTAGAGTATAATTCAGGCACTTTATGTATTTGCCTAAGCCCCTTGAAAGTGGTCCTAGTTTTCCATCTATTTTTATAGGACTCTGGACAATTGAGGGCACTTGTGTTGCAGTGGTA